AGAGCAGGAGCCCGCCGCGGGGCGGGGAGAAGCGGCCCGCCGGAAGCCGCCGCAGTGCCTTTTATTTCCACGGCCGCTGACCGGACTAGAGCGATGCCTCTGCTTTCGTTCCGCGGAGGGATGAGGGAAGGCTTCGGGGGGGGTGGGGGGACCTGTCACTGGGAGATGAAATTTTTCCATGAAAAAATATTCAATAATTACAGTAGTCACCGAGTTATAGTGGAGTTACGTGATTTCATTGAGGCATATTTAGTTACCATCAGAGAACACACTCCAGTGTTGGTCGTTAAATTAAATGCGGCTTTCGGTGCAGGATATGAAATTAAACTGCACATCACATGAATTATCTCACAGGGAGAATGAAATCACTTCATGGGTAATGGTAACGGAGCTGGGAGGAGAAGGAAATTCTTTTATATACACCAAGAGATAAGAGTTTGTCACATGAGACTCTTTGCAGTGAAGACGTGGAATTTATCACACAAAGGGAATGGCAGTTGGAGACGGTGTCTGTACTCAAGTGTCTAAAATCAAGCCAGTAAATACATCCTTTGATGCTTGTCTGACTTCATAACAGCTGAGCATCCAACAGGTCCCGTTGATGCTGATAAGGGTGCATAACATGAAGAAAAACCCTAAGATATATTTGAAGTGCCCAATTTTAAAGTGTGCCATTTTAGACTCTTGGGTTATATAGGGCTACGATTTCTAAGTAGTGCTTGGAGAAATGAATTGGGAGACATGACACTGACTAGAAAAATAACTATATGTGTGTGTATGTATATATATATATATATACTCACACACACACACCCAACAAATATATACTATAAAATAGAATTATTCATATGTTTCATATTTATATATTATTTATACACAATTGTGTGTGTTTTTTATATATATATGTAAAACATTTTCCTTTGCAGAAAGTATAGATGAGGTTTAAAAAAAACCTTGGGGAGAAAAAAGTGTTAGGATACCTGTATGTTATACTAGATTGCTGATGTATCTGCTTATCACTAGTTCGTTGCAAATGGAAGGAATAGTCCTTTAGCCAGGATGCGGAAAAGAATCTCTTCCCTAGTACCATAAGTTTCAGTGTCCTATCTGCCAAAAAACAAAGCCACCTCCTACACCTTCCTGGATACCAGAAGCCCCAACTGCCCCCTACCCATCTGTCAAAATTTATAGCTTTCCCTAGACAAATATTCACAATTCAATCATGTGCAAAGCCAATGGCATCTTGAAATACTGGGAGAAAGATAAAATGTATTGAATGTAATGTAAAAATAAGTTACATGATGACTACTTTACTTTTCTTCCATGTCTCCATCTGCTATCCTCTATCTCCTGCTTAGCATGTAAAGGCTTTCGGATGGGTCTTTTTGTTCTCTGGATACTAAATATGATATTTGGGTTATGATCTACTAGCTTCTTTGTGTTTCTTCAACACGGATGCGTTGGTCTTCCTCTCAAAGGCCTTTTTGTATTTAGACATTTTTGTATTTGTCTCTTTTCAAGTAGTGGAATAAGTTAGTAACATCAGATTTTTCTTTTTTTATATATAAAAACAGAGAATATTTTAGGCATATATTGGTTTGGGAGAGGAGATACTGAAAACCAAAAAGAAAAAAAAAATAGGGAAACCATTGGATGGGCCTGAAAACATATCTGGTCTAATCACAGTTTTCTCACACCTCACACCTAATGCCACCCATGCCTCCTAGCACAATGATGCTTCTGTCTTGTCCTATCAGTAAAGAGCAGCATATGCACACAAATCCTAGCTAGTGGGGAAGTAGAGGATTTGGTATGGAAATAGAGGAGAGACACAAAGACGACCTAGGCCAAAGAGAAGTCCAGGAAGAGGCAGAAAACCAAGGAAATAGGAGGAAAGAACAGGAGTGAAATTAAGGGAAAGGACAGAACAGGACAGAGCTTTGCCATGGCCTCTAGAGGTGGGAGAGGAAGAGATGGATGTTGGCCTTTGGTAGTCTAAGGGGACACTAGATCTGTAATGAGAGTGTGATACAGGAAAAGGAGCAGGAGACACTCCTTGATAGAGGCAAGAAGAGATAATAGCAAAGAGAGAAAAATACAAGGGAACATACAGAGCTGCTGGCACAGGAGCAGAATGAAGGTTTGGGAGAAAAGGGCATACATACTTCCTGAGAGAATGGAGATTGAGTATAATTCTTGTGATTTACTGAAATGATGACATGAGAGGTTGGCACAGATTTTGACCAGTTGAAGGAATGCAAAGAGTCTCTGGCAGATGCAATAAACTAAGCCCTGCAAAAGCACTAGGTGTTCTAGCCTATCCCCCTCCCCCGCCCCGAACAATTCCCATATTACAAAGAAAAGAAGGGGAAAAAATGACAATTTACTCAGAAAATGCCATGTTTTTCCGAGCATGTTTCATATCCTGTACTCCAAGTGATACTATTTGGAGGTATGCATATGTGAAACTAACTATGCAGAGACAAGGTCATTAAATACAGGGAGTCTTTGGTATGGAACCTGAGGCAGTTAACATGATTGTGTATTTGAGACTACCGTGCAGAAAGGGCCTACCTGAGCATTGGCCTTAGATTCGTGGGGATCCCAAACTATTCCTTTTTCCACATACATGTTGGAAGATTTGACATATCATTTAATTTACTTCACCTCACAGTCCCCTTCAATGTTCTAAAATAATGGACAATTGTCTTAGTCTAGGTCTCTCAAACCAGCCTTGCAACATACCATCATGAGACTTAACGGACAATTTTCAGCCAACTGGGTGGAAATGAGGCAACACTATATATAAATCACAGAGTTTTCTTTATGATTTTAACTGATTATAACACATTGGAGAAATAGCAATCAGACTTTTAACGGAACTGTAGTGGAAATGCCTTATAAGATTTGGGGATGTTATTGCAATAGGTTACTGACAAATTTGTTGCATGAGGGAAGATTACCAGGGATGAAAATTTCAAGTGATTTTGGGGGAGTCGAAGACTCGTAGTATCTTGCCTTGGAGCAGTGCACAATTATTATATGGTTGCAGGGAATAATTTGTTACTTGTGCCAGGCACAAGACTGGGAGAAGTTTCCCCAAGGTAGCGAGCCCCCCCGCCCCCCGCCCCCTAATCAGGCGTGAGGGACTGTCACACCCGAACAGGAGGAGACAATTTAGAAGCAGTGTCACACGGGCTGGCAGAAGGAGTTACCTCAGCTTGGAGAAGATCGCCGTGTGGGTGAGCGACTGTTACAAAGGTGGCCTAGCGATCAGTTGTCACCGCAGACTGGGGGGGCCGCGAGAGAGTATTGCAGGCGGAGCCCTCTGCCGAGGGGATCGCCGCAGCATGCGGCTGTCTCCCGGGCCGGGGGGCCGAGGGCAGCGATGCCGGAGCAGGCCGCAGCCCCG